GGTGGTCGGCCTGCACATCTCTCCCAGGGCCAAGCTGCTCCACTCTATTTTCCCCAATCTTTAAAAATGCAGCCTGAAGTGTGTTGTAATCTCTGGACGAAGGCCTAGGAGTTGGTGACCTCCTCAGTTCTAACCCAGATTTGATGTGGGATCAGCAGTGAGTCATTAGCCCTTTTTTCACATCTCAGTTTTCTCTAGGAAAAATGATCTGTCATTCTTTCATATCTTTATATGAAAGATGCCGTGACGAGGTTACATCAGCATCTTTTCACCAGAGACACGTCCTAATTCAAAAGTGCAGTTCCTGGAGGAGCCCCCAGGGGTCGCTGTGGAGACAAAGAGGGCTCCAGGTCCCTCTGCCAGGTCAAGCGGTTCCCACCTGCTCCTCCAGCTTTGCAAAGCCCAGCCCCTATGGGATGGAGACTCCTCAGGAGAGGCTTGAAGCTGGCTGGCCTCACTTGGCAACAAAGACTGCCCAACTGCTTCGGTTATAAACAGTATATTTCTTCGAGGGTTTTTCCTAGTCTATGAAAAGAAAAAGAAAGAAAAGAGGAAATCCTGAAAGAGAATGTGGCCTAAGTGAAATGTAACCACAATTAGGCACTAGAGTTAGTACAAGCAATGATGCAATAAAAATGCAGGAATAAAGTTTGGTCTGTTGTGTATTAATAACTCAGTCATTGTAGAAGTCAAGAGGTTCAAGTCTGTCTGCCTTCCTTTGATCTCTCTCTCTCCTTCTCTCTCTCTCTTTCTGTTTCTCTTTTTCTCACACAGAGAATCTTAAAAAGTAAAATCCCTGAACAGAAAGCAAAAATATCACTATGTTCTAGCAGTTGCTAATATTTTCCTTCATTGGGCAATTGGTCAAGAGTCCAGCAGTTCGTATACAGAAAGACATATCCATGACCAGAATCCTCAGTTGCATTCCCCCCAGCCATAGTGCTATTGGTATTCACTCTACATTCCAGGATTTCACTTGGAAAACTACAGGGGAAATAGAAAAGGAGATTGTTTGGTACTAAATGTTTAACATGCTCGTGAAACAATTACAAAGGAAACCTATTGTGATGTTTCAGGCTGTATATCTTAGTTTATCTAATTCAACATGATAGAATAAACCAACATGATTATTTACTGTCTTCGGTTGCCTACCTTGAAGATTCTACTCTCCATCAACATGAATTGCTTATTTTCCTTGCAAGGAACACCCGAGGTAATTCCTCATTTCTTTTTTCTCTGCTCTGACTAACATCACGTTGGTGCTGACTGAAGTTACTGCTGGGTGGGGCAACACCATTACTTAGGTTAAATGAATGGGAAATTTTGATGTCTCTAAGTTAGGAGCTTCAAGATCTTCATAATAAAGTATATGCCATAAAAAATGGTCCAATTCATATTCCCATTTAATTAAGATAACTTTTTGTTTCTCTTTCTAGTCAATGCTTTCATTTTAATGTCCTTTTGATCATAAAGATATTTTATTTTTAGGTTACTACTTTTAAAAAGGTACTACTAGCAGAATTCAAGTAACCCCAAACAAATACCTGGATTACCAGGGCTGCTTAACATGGGCATTATTGACTCTCGGGCTGGATAATTCTTTGATGTGTTAGGGGAATGGGGGAAACCTGTCCTGTGCATTCTAGGATGGTCAGCAACATCCTTGGCCTCCACCCACTAAATGCCAGGAGCAGCCCTTTACTCCCAGTCTTGACAATGAAAAATGTCTCTGGACATGGTCAAATGTTCCCTGAGGGTGGGGGAGGGGGGCAAAATCACCACATTAAAACCACACCGTGTGCCTGAATTGTTACAATGAAAAAGGAAAAGGAAAGAAAGAAAATGAAACGTTTGTCTCTTCCTTTTTTTGATTGTCCAAGCCTCTACAGATTTGAATCATCAATCATTTGGATCCTTACTCTAGTTAATGGAGTCACCTTTAGAAAATTTCTAAAGCCTTGTGCACAGTCTTTTGAATAGATGTGCCTTGAACTTCAAATGGATTGTCAAAGGACTAGACGTCCACTAACTCCCACTGGGTAAACGATCGGTAAACCTTAGCATAACTACACATTGAGCCTTAAACTAACAGCCTATGAAAAGATCAATATGAATAAATTCAAAACTAATCAGACTCCTTCTTTAAATGTTGACACAGTATTATTTATATCCCATAAATACCTTCTTGACTAAAATTCATCCTAGGAGATTGGCACCTGGCCAGTTCTATTCATATTTACTGTATTTATATAGTATCCTGGGCCAAGGATAATATTTAAGACAAAATATGCCTGAGGGCATATACAATATCTTTTATATTTTTACTTTTAAGTCTCAACATTGCTAAAAATATTTAGTCTGAACTATATAAAATGTCCCACAAAGGGCTATCAGCAATCTGTAATGATATACAGCTCATTGAGTATAATTAGAGCATATTTGTAATATTTGAGCTGAAGTCACTCCCTGAACGCTAATAAGTTGGTGGTAAAAAATGAACCAGTGATCTTTCCCATGCCTTCATCTCTGGGGCTTATGACCCTCGCCGATTCACTGCAAGAAATGACAGGCACACTCCCTCCTCACAGCCACTTCAGTGCCGGCCCAGTTAAAAATTAGGCGGAAAAATCTTAAAGAGGCAAAGTTGGTATAGAAGCCAATGCTGTACTTTCAGTTTGCTCTTTAAAAATACGGTGGAGTGATTTCTTCTTTTCTCCCTTTCTTTTGGAAGGGTTCACTATATTCCAGTATACCTAGAAAGTGCTGGAAAATCAGTTAACCTACTTTCTATAAAATTATGCACAGTCCTCGCACAGTAGTATCAAACCTGCTATTAATATGGCTTTCTGCTCCTAAACTTTCATACAGAGAATACAGGCTTTAAGGAGGCTTTTAAGGAGTATATTTTTCATACTGAACTTATCAGACGTTTAATTTATTTGGTGGCTGGGGGTAGGATGGAGAAGAGAATCTACACACTGATCTTTGATGCCATCCTTTGAAATCCTAATAACCTGAGAACTTTTCTAATTTGGTGATACCATGATTCTGGGTTGGGTCATGTCAGCTCTTTGGATTGAAGTGTGTTTGAAAGAACAAAGAACGAACATCCTCTCTCCACTTGCTCTTGCTCTTTCCACACACCTATCTAATGATGCGATCAGACCTCCTCTGTTATAAAAGTGCTGGCTGTTCATTAGAGCTTTTGCAGGTAAACATTGAAGCGATGACTGGGTCAGGTTCTGTACTTGCCTGTCTGCCCAAACACCAGTAGAACTGATGCACGTGGAAGAGAAAGCAAACTGACTCAACCCTCTGTTCGGTCTCAATGGTTTTGGACTAATTACAATGAACTTTCTTGCCTAATATCTCCTTGGCTCCGCCCCAGGTAGAAAGCTTTACTTCCCGAGGGGAATAAGCAGGGTGGAGCGGATTTATCACCACTGTTGTGGATGGTGCCATAATTACAACAATAAAATCATCCTGCTTGCCAGGATCTCCTGCATCTGCTCTGCTCTTGAACAAGCACAGGAGAAGCTGCAGCAGAGGAAAGGTTGCCAGGAAGACAGGGGTTAGATCCATCCGCTGACATTCTGAGACCATCAAGTACAAGACATGGCAAGTCACACAGCTAGGACTTGTCAAACTAAAAATAAATATTAAAAAAGAAAAGCACCACCCTGCAATTAGAACCTCTAGGATGAAATTACCAAGATGGCCATATTATCTATTTAGGCAAGACACAGAGACTTTGTGAAGGCAGCCAGTGAGTATATAGGACATGGAAAGGGGAGGAGAGAAATGGACGGCCAATGAAAAGTTTACGACTTGGGATTTGGAATACGCAAATGTCGAAGCGGATTTTTTTTTTTTCTTTTTCTTCTTCTTCCTGGTATTTAACCCTCTCAGGTATCACTGGATGCTTCTTCTTTTCTTTTTTTAAGAACTTGGGAAAAATTCTAATCTAACTGTCCTCTTCCCTTCCTCCCAAGGAACTCCACAATAAATCATTTCACTCCCATTGCTACTGTATGCCAGCTGGTTTTGAGGACACTGCCCTCAGAGAAGTCAGTAAAAAAAAAAAAAAAAAAAAAAAAAAAAATCGGCTGTCTTCTACTCTGAGATTCAGGAATGCATCGAAGTAACTGCAGGAAGCCTATGAAAGGGCAGGGAGCAAGGGGCTCAAGGGTGAGAAAGATAAACGACAAACGCGTCAGAAAAGTGATCTGCTATCTTAAGAAGGCAGATTTGGGCGAATTATAAAATTAACATGATGAAACACCTTTTAAATATAGTCAGAAAAGAAGTTTTTCTTTCCACCCCTCCAGGTGAAATCAAAAGGGGACTTGGTTACAGGACCTCGCCTTCGGGGAATGTAAACACCTAGCTATGGCAATCGGTTCAAGAGTTGAGGTTTTGGGGTAGGTTTCCCGAGGAGTCTCCAAATCAGGTTTTGTCTTGGCGATGCTGACATTTTTCGGGGAGTTACAGACAATAGAGGAGGCTTGGGGAACCAGCTGATAGGTCGGCAGGAAAGGGGCGCCTTCCGGAGAGGCTAGTTTTGAGCCACTTTTTTTAACCCTTCGTGCACCGGTTCGCCGGGCTCCACGCCAATCGGAGCAAAGAAAACAAACCTACCAGGATTTCCCAGTTTAACTCTGCCCCAGGGAGCGCCTCCAGTTTGACAGAGGAGGCTGACTCCTAGCTGGTGGCCTGGTAAAGAATTTCGGGGAAGAGTCAAAGAGAATAACGCCTTAGAAAGGACTGAGGCGTTGGGGGCAGGGAGAAATGGAGAAAATAAAGTAGAAAGTCAAGATTTTAAAGCCTACCTTTCTCAAGCAGAGAACTGGAAAGGGGGTGGGTGGGACGAAGGACAGCAGAAGGGGAAAAGAGCGAGCGGGGACCCAGAGAGGGAAGGGCGATCCCTAAAGTTGTTGCGCTTTTGAGAGCTCCGCGCAGCGCTTAAACCTCTGGGAGTGGAAGCGAAAAACAGTACTTACTTTCCGAGGGGAAGAAGGGCGGCATGTCTATTTTGTAAACCTCCTTGGCGTAGTACTCCTCGTCGCTCCTCTCGCGCTCGCAGGCGGCCGCCCTCCGGCTCGCCTTCTCCTGGAGCAAGTCCCTGGTGCTGTTGTAGATGGAAATCACCTCCGGGGGGACTTCCTCCGGTTCGGGATAGTCTTCTGGGGGGCTGGTGAGCTTCAGCTTGCTCAGGATCTGCCCGCGGATGGCCTCGATCCTCTTGCGCATGAACTGGTCCATATCGAGCGTGCTGCAGGTAGACAGGCTGAGCGCCACCGCGACCAAATGCAGGAGCAGAAAAGCGCTCAGCACACAGTAGTGCATTTTTTTTTAAAGGTGGAAAAAGTTAAAAAAAAACAAAAAAAATTTAAAAAGTAGGAAAAAAAGAAACCAATAACTCTCAAAGTTCAGATCAGGTAGGTTTTTTTTTTTTTTAATGCGAAACTTTTGCAAACAGTCGAGAGTCAATGTCCAATAGAAAAGCTATCTTGCTTGAATTCCTTTAAAAAGAAAATACAAGTCGTTCCAAAAGGGGAAATATTAATACACGATGGCCAGGGGGAACCCTAACTTTGGGGAGTAAGAAAAAGTTTTCTTGGAGCGACGAGATGGGGGGGAAAAAAGAGACGAGTGGCTATTAGGCAGAAATAAATTTAAGAGGAAGAAACGGAGTTCAGTGTGTCAGTTTCGGGTGCGGAGTGGCGGATCTGAACTCGGCTCCTCCAGCCAAAAGGGAAGAGATGAAAAGGTCCCGGGGCTGGCAGCTGGCGAACTGACGGGAGGGGCGCCGGGAGCGCTGGAAGGGGGGCCGCCGAGGCTGGCCCAGGCTGTAATTTATATATTTAAAGAAGGAGCGGTTCAGCCCTGCCTTCCACTGCGGCGCTGAGCGCAGCAGCAGCAGCAGCAGCTCCGGAGCGGAGGAGCGCACACGTGTGTGAGTGTGTGTGTGAGTGTGTGTGCGCGCGCGCTGGCGTGCGCGCGCGCTGCGGGCGAGCCCGGCGCGCCGCCGGGAGGCGGGTGCGCTTCGCACGGCGCTGGGGACTCGGTCGGGTCGTGCAGCGGCCGCAAGGGCTGCCGAGGCGGCGAGGATCCTGCTCCCGGAGCGGCGCGCCGGGGCCTACCCCCGGGCGGGCGCACGCCGAGCCTCTCGGTTACTCCACGTTGCCGCCGCCGCCGCTCGCAAACGCGTCCAGCCTCCAGCTCCCTCCTGCTGCTGCTCCTCCTTCTTCTCGCGCTCCAAACGCCAACCCGGCAACAGACGAGCCGCTGCCGCCGCCGTGGCTCTCACCCCCTGCGGACCGCAACGGCAGCCCCGGAGACCGCGGACCGGGGGGTTTTATTCCTAAGGGGATGCGAAGGGGTTCCCTTGGAGTCCCACCCTCTCCTGTCTCTCCCACTTGGACTTTCTCGCTTCGGGTAGGTAGGCAGGCACTTGGCACCCTGAAATAGACCCTCTTCTGCTTTCTCCTGTCTGCAGCCAGACAGCCCGTTTGTTCCCAAATGGCTCCCTAGACCGTTACACTGTGTTCTCCATCCCTTTCCCCATGCCCCTCCACTTGCGCTCTCGCTCTTCGCTCTCTCTGCCTTTCTCTGGGTCTCTCTGTATCTGTCTGCCTGCTCCTCCCTCCCGCCCTCCCTCCCTCCCTCTCTCTATCTTCTCTCTCGTCGGAAGCTTCTGAAGCTCCCCTCGGAGCAACCTTCTGCTGCCAGCAGATAACATCACGATCTTGCCTGGGAGGAGAGATTTATAAGTTCCCTCTGAACCACGTGTTTGCCTTCAACAAAGTGACGTGCTAGGATTACAGTCAGAAGTCCTCTCGTTTACTTAGACCACGGGCTCTCCCCGAACCGTTGAGGGGGTGTGGAAATGAGGACGGCTGTGGGCGAGGGCGGGAGGAGGTGGAGTGTGCGCCCTGACAACAGTGATTTACGGTATTTACTTTATATAGTCATTTTGGACAGGTCTGTTGAAGGACAAGCTATCAAGCCTCCCGTTTTCACTTGGTGTGGCTCACCCACAGCCTCCCAAATTGAATCACTTGCTGTAGAATGGAAGTCTTCCCCCCTGTACTGTACACACACAGAGACCCACACGTGAAAGGGCATCAAACGGTTCACTCAGGGCCAGGCCAGCCCTGAGACATGGCTTCCAATTTAAAATTTACCTCCTGTGTTTTTAGTGGAATCCTTTTCTGAGATGCCAGAACACTGTGCTAGTACCTCTATTCTAAGTTTATTTCATTATGGTTTGTTGTTTACAGTGTAGTCCTCCATTTGAGTGTGGACTGCTGAAAAAAGAGCTCCATCTTTTTTTTAACCTGGAGAATGAAGTACATTTATTTGTTTCACTGTTTGAGTGAATGACTGGATATCTTCCTCATTTGCTGCCTAAGCCACTTCTTGATATGGCTTTCTCTTCACCCTATTCCCCAGCTAGACATTAGCCACCAACTTCATTCTTTCCGTAGCATCCATCCAGGAAACTGCCATTTTAAGTGTTTGGTGTCTACTGTTACACACTACACACAACTTGACATTTTCTATTTCAACCAAGTCCAAATTAGATGAATATAAAAATAATTCTTGCCACTGTTCACTTTCCCCTTTTTCTTTTATTTTACCTTGAGTTACTCAAAGTCAACATTTTCATTTCATCATGACTGTGGCCAGACCGACTAGACAGATGATTTAAACTGGAAACTCTGTTGAGTGTCCCCCCAAACTCAAAGCCTCTATATTATTCCCTAGTTCAGATGTTCCTTTTATTGTAGAAAGGTCACAAGGAAGTTCCTCTAACTTTTGGAGTTTATACTTGACATGCGCATGGGGCCTATATCATTAGTAAATAGAGTGCTGAATAAATAGCTATACAATAGCTAACACATATTACACTTAGTAATGTGAGATACATATATAGATGTATATAGATGGTCATTTAATCTTCACAACCTGTACCTATACAATAGGTATTATCATCTCTACTTTGCAGATGAGGAACCGAGGTACAGAGGTTAAGCACCTTGCTCAGGACCACATTAAGTGGTGGGGCTGGATTTGTAGTCAGGATCCTTGTCTGTGTTCTTACCCCCTAGGTACTCCTAAGAAACACTGGTATCCAGAATATGTCTTTCAAACGGATGCTGTGGTGAAGTAAGTTTGGGAGATACTGGGTACTGTATTTGCCTTCTTGTAGATTCACAGTTCCCACCATCATGTTCAAGGCTCTGAGAATCTTGCAGAAAAGAAAACTGTTCAGCTCTTTTTAACACAGCATATTCTGAACTCCCTTGAACATGGAATTTTTTCCGTATTAATACACATCAGAAAATTCTGGAATAAAAGAATTGTTCCAACTCACTTCTGAATAATTCTGAAAATTATGTATACATCAGCATTAGCAGACTCCTTTCTTTGAGGCCAGTTTCACATGGAAGCAACTGGAAGGGAGTTAGATAACCAGCTACCATTCCAACAGCCAAAGCAAAATATAGTCAAGAGCAGCTACTGTGGGGCCAGCCGTTTCATCAGGCTGTCAGCCCTGTGAGTTCAGGTTGAGAACTGCAGGAATCTAGCTATGCACAAAGGGGAAAACGAGAATATCCTCACACCTGGGGTAATTAGAGAACACAGACAAGGAGTGGCGACCTAGAGCCACCCAGTGAAGATGTCGCTTGGAATATGGCTGGTTACCTCGGTCCCCATCCTCCGCTGGGGACGTCAGTTCCACCTCCCCTCAAACCAGGGAGACCACCTTCTTGGTATAGACACAAAGGCCCCTGATGGTGAGCGGATTCAAATTAGTGTGAAGAGAGCAGCAAAAGCCCACCTACATCACTTCTAGGAAAACAACTAAGCCATAAATTCTTCTGACAACCATCTCCCTTCCCAACATAAACCCACACTTTTGTCCACAATACTTGGTGGGACACTTATTGCTAACTTAACAACTCCTTAAGCTACTTTTAATTTTCCCACTGCCCAGGAAGGTAGGACAGGGCAGGGGTTGGTGAAATCTTCTGGAATGGGTGAGTATAATAGCTTGAGCACCAGAGGAGGACCCCCTTTCTACCTCTCAGGTGAGCAATCCTTTGAAGATGTAACAGCTAAGACTGTAAGAGCTGTCTCCCTGGTAACCATAAATGGATCCTTTCTTCTACTAAATAACTCTTCTGGAGTCTTTTCACTTTTATATTCAAGATGTAAACATTCACTAACATTCATTCTTATGTGCTAAGGACTTTATACAGGGTAACAGGGTATTGAACCCATACAGATCGTCATGATTACCTCAAGGAGGCAGGAGGGCACAGTGCTTAAAACGGCAGGCTCCAAGGTCAGGTTTTCTCGGGTTCAAATTTCTGTCACTTTCCAGCTTTGTGATCCTGGCCAAGTTACTCAGACATTTTGGGTTAGTTTCTTCATCTGCAAAATGGGGTTAACATATCATACCAACAATATAAGATTATTGTGCGGATTAAATTCTACAAGGCACAGAAAGCACTTCTAACGCAACCTGGCATTCAGTTTGTGCTTAGTAAATGCTACCTACCATGTTCTTATCCTCTGACTTCTTCATTTTGTCGGAGAATGTACGATAACACACGTGTGGCCTCCACTCTTTCTCAGATATAAATAGAAAGAAACAGCCAGGGAAGACGCTAATGAGAATTGCTTCATGGTTTATGTCTCCTAGCAGTTTCTAGAAGGACATGCTCATTAAGTTACTTTACATAGTATGGTATCTTGCCCCTGGTAATTGTAGGAAGAAAGGACGAGATAATACACTTTTGGTGACTACGACTCTAAATGACTATCAAAGTCCAGTTAAGCCCAAATTCAAGATGAAAGTCGCTCATTATTTAACAACCTAAAATAGAATTCTTTGTTTTCCAGATCAGAGAGGTAGAGGGTGCAGCTGTTCTGACCACTAGCCCTCCTCTGCTCATTAATAGGTCTATTCACTTAATTAATGTGGTATTCCTGCAAGAGGCGAAACAAATGTTTGATACCAAGACAACTACTCATCTCTGTCCAGGAGTCTTACCCCTACGGGTCACAGGCAAGAGTTTACGATCTAATAGGTCCTTCCTAACTCTGATGAAAGAATAACTTCATTTGTAACAATTTTGAAAGCTTTCCACTATGGTTTCAAGCATTAAAAACCAGGAGGTGGAGAAAAGAAAGATATGGAACTACTGTTATTGATTACATTTTACTCTAATAGTGACACCTGATAAATGCAAAATAACCCTTGAATGTGATAATACGTTAAAAAGCCTTTTGAGTTCTTACAGCTTTTTCCTTTGATGCTGCAATTCAAAAGCAATGTTTGGTCTATAGCAATTTTTGTCTCATGTTCTGTGTGCATTTCTATGGATAAACAAGTGTCTGCTCTCAGAATAAGGAAATGGAAAGGTTAGCGGTTTCCCCATGAAAAGTAATACAATCATCATTTCCGTTTTGTATCTTGAGGTTAATCTAAGAAAGAGGTGATACAGAGAAAGGAGGGAACAATGGGTAGGGAGGAGAAGGGCCTAAAGAGAAGTTCAGAGGTGGTACAAGATAAAGAGATAAACTCCAGAGACAGGGACTAGAAAAAGCAGAGCCTATCAGTAGGCTGTGAGGTTTGAGAGAGATAAACTCCTCACCCTTTACTGATACGCTCACTGGAACATTTATCTTACCCTTTGGAATTATGATTAGCGGATGGATTATTGCTTGTTGCTTTTGGGCCCGTCTATCTGTACATTTTCAGCTCTGTGAGAGGTCCAGCAGGAGGGAAGTCTTTCTTTGGCAGGCAGTATCTTAGTGGCCTGGGCTTTGTCATCCCCTGGGTCTACTGAAGTCAGTTGCAGCTCTGGTTTCTTGCCCCTGTGAAATTTATCCACTAAAATAGCATTTAGTGGCTGATATAAATAAACAGCATTTAGGGAGTGATATAAATAAATGAACATATGGG